GAACATGATTTCAGCAGGTCTTCTGGACCCCATGTTGTCACACTGCATATATAACCTGGCAGTTGGGAGATTTAAAAATTCCTATTTGAGAGTGAAGAGAGGGTAAGCATAAATGAGGCAGGCCGAGGTGGAGGGAATAAAATCACCATACAGTGTACTGAGAGGACTCTGTGTGCATGCTACTATAGTGCTAACCTCACACATTTTTTCAGACTCCACCCTTTGGCTCACTACCCACGAGGAGGTTAAGGCTGGGTTATTACTGGGGACAATTGCATAACCATGCTACATGTTTTCTACTTCACTTCACTACAAGTGACTAGCTGTAGGCACAACTAGTTTCCCTTGCTCTCCTTCCTGTCAAGGCAAGGTGTGTCCACACTTAGTGACTCAAGGTCTGTGACATAGTAAAGCTCATCTGGGAAGTCCTGTGTGTTGAGTATGGAATGCACAGCTGGCTCTCTCTTCAGAGCTCCTGGCTGTGTAGGCTAGGTCATGACCTGTTCCCTTCCAACTGTTGGTGTCCAGTGCAGGGTATCCCGAAACAGGAGGGAAGTGCAGTGGTGCAATGCAGCCAGGGCAGGCTCTGTAGCAGAGCACTGTGTTCAAAAGGGTTCTGATAAATGGGATGTTCTACAGCTGCGTTACAGCTCATACACCCTTCCCTGACCTGAAAGGTCAAACATCACCAGCTCTGCCCTGCCTAACAGGGTGCAACAGAACAAAATGGAAGTGCAGGGGAAAGGAGTAAACATGAGAACATCTGATTTCCTTGCCTCATACTCATTTAGGACTTCTTGTCTGGCTTTTCTGTAGCAACCTCCATCTCGAAAAACTGGACAAACACATTAGTTGAATTCCAGCTCCTCTCTGCTCTGGGGAAAGGCCCATGTCTTAAGTACCAAATGGCATCTGACTTAGTTGTAGCACAGCTAGAGCCCAAGAGACTTCCTCTGTGTTACTCAGCAAGTCAGTAACTGAGCTAAGCATAAAGCCCTTCCCTTCAGCCACATCAGCTCAGTTGGCAGTCTCTGGGTCCAGGGCCCCTGTGGTGCAGGGTCTCCACCTCCCAGCACAGCTGAGGAGCAATCCCCCTTGCACACCCCTGCAGCAAGCGGGTGTTATACCAGGCAAGTACAGCACAGTCCATACCACAGGAAGGTGGCATTGGCACAGTCCTCTGCTGACTTCTAGTAAAGCCATTGTGGGGGGGCAGTGATTTAGGGTTTCACTTTTTTATAACTAACTGAACATCAAATTTAAATGGGAAAAATCTTTGAAATGCCTACACAATGTAAGTATGGTCTTTTTCTATACTAGTACACTTGCTCATGGTCTTGTGCTGTGAAGTCACCATGCAAAACTGATGTAGGTACTAAAGAGAGACTTTTCTTTTTGCTAGAGCTGCTGGTGGTTTCCAACAGGGATTCTTATGTGAAAGTGCATGCACCACCTTAGACATGATACCGGTGTTACCAAGAAACATTTTCTCAGCTTTTTAACACATGCCTGTTCTTGAAAGCCAAAGGTTGAAGCTCAGTTTATTGCCTTGGTTTGTCTTTGAGGCATTGAACATTGTGCTACAGTCCTTGAGGAGACAGAACAATCACAAATTGCAGAATCTGATGTCTTTCTTGGGATTATTTACCTTTAGTGACAGTGGTTTCAAAATTGATTAAGACTTCCAGGACAGACAAGGATTCCTGCATATAATACTGTTGTGATAGTACTAGGAGTATTTACACCCACTCACAGAAATCTTTTCTTCCTGCAATTGCACTCACCAGTGACCCCCTCTGTTATTGGACAATTGGCTGTCAGCTACAAAGCTGAACATCAGAAATGGAAAAGAAGTCAGAGGAAAATGTATTGGAATTGGGTTAAAGTAATTAAAATTGTGCAGCTCAATATTTTAACTTTCACAGGGAAATATGTTTTCTATAGTGGTCATAAACTTGGAGGTTTAAGACATCAATTTTTTCTGTCATGTATGCTAGGCATTGCAGTGAAGACTGTATGGCTTAGAGGCACTTTGCAGAATAACATTTGTTGTGTCTGGAATTCATCAATATTTATGGTGGCCTGTATTAACTTATTTATTTCATCTTCTGTGTCAGTCAGTCCAACTCAAAATAATATAAAGTGCTGGTGAAAAGGAACTGTGAGGAAATATTGTGGAAAATTAAATGCTTCAGAAAATAAAAAATAGTCATAATAACATATTCAGGCAAAGTAGAAGTGATCCTGTGGCATCTGTTTCTTGTTGACCTGGTGTCTTGCTCCATTTCAATATGATTACACCTGTAAAGGAAATCCAATGCATCAGCACATATAACTTACTGTAACCTCTCTGACAACTATGTAGAATAAAGCCAATTTTCCCAAGTGTTCTTTGGAACATAATAAAATTTTAGAGTAATATTATAGCTTTATTTTAGCATTGGAAATGCATTTCAAAAATCTCCTATAGAACAGCCAAAAGATGTGCTACCTTTAAAAGCAAGAGTAAACATATTTAATCATTCATTTTCAAGCAGAGCAAACCAAAATTTATTGCTATCATTTAGTACATAAATCCACTTTGCTCGGAGGGTTATAAGAAATTTGATTAAGGCATTTTGTCTAGATATACTCTGATATGGCATGATTTAAATTCTTTGTGACCAGCAGTTAGGTACAATGATTCACTTAGGTTTGTACCAGCTTAATATGGGGGCCAGTCACTGAAGGTATTAGACATTTACAGATTGTCTATTGATCTGCCAGGTGCACAGTGACCTCAGACACATATGAAGTATTATTGTAAGAGAAAATATCTTTCCTGTGGTTAGAATCATCACTGACAGTTCATTGAAACCATGCAGGGCAAAGATGTTGCATGCCTTTTTCAGCAGTGATATCTTTTATTAGACCAGGTAGCCTTGCTGGAAGAAGTAGCCAGTCTTTCAATCTCTCCTTCAGGTCTGAAAAAGCACCCAAAAGCTTTCGAGCTAAGTATAAGTTCAGATCACTTGTTCTGAACTTTGTGAGAGGGGAACCAGATGAAGCTCCAACTGCCTGAGCTAATAGGGTGGCTAGTGTTTGTGTAGCAAAGTGGGAATTAGGGTGTCAAGAGATGGTAAGTGGTTCTTGGGGGACTGAGAAATGTATTTTATACCTGGTGGGTGGTAAACTGGTTAGTAGAAGGAAGAAGAAGATAGTGAACAGGATCTCCTTTGAATCATTGGGCTTGATGGTGCTGCAGATCTATGAATTTTGGTTTTACCTACTCATCCTAAAAGTGTACTTTGCATATGTCCATTCTAATTGCTTTTTGGTTTCAGCTTACAGCAGCATAAATGACAACAAGCAACTTCGTGTGAGTCATGCTTTCCAGCAAATGCCCAGGACACTATTTCTTTGAAAACCACTATTCTGCATAAGTTATTTACTAGAGAAACAAAAGATGGGAGAGGAGAGATAATAGAGGGCATTTCTGGAGAAAGATTGGTATGGGTTTTATTACTTGGCAGTTACACAACCACTTCTTTTTATCAGTATTTCCATCTCTAACTACAGTCTGTTAAGTCTTCTGGTTTGCGTGAGTATGTGTTCATTCCTTCTCCATATGACATTTACATAACACTTCCCACCAGCAGACACTGGTTGCCTCCTGACTGTTTTCCTGACTTTTGTGGTTTAAAAAAGGTGATAGATTTTATTCTACAACAGTCTGTGCCTGATTTTTGAACAACATTCTAAAACTTCCTTTCATTCTCAGACATTTCTCCTGGTCCTTTGCACTGGTCTTCCCTGCAGTTTTGTGGCTGCCTCATCAGAGTCAAGACATGCTGCTACAGCTAACTTTTAGTCACTGTTTTTCAAAGCTTAATCTTCAGGCAAGGAGGAAATAGGGCTGCCTGTGCTGTCGTGATCTAATAAACTCCCTTGTGCAGCATAGACAACCTCTGCCATTAATGTGGCTGCACAAATATGCATTCAAGGTAGTTTGTGCTGCACCATTTTGTCTGCTGTGTTATTAGTACATGACAGAATCTTCACAGGGATCATGAATCTCTATAAAGAATGTTACTGAATCCTTTCACTGCACAGTGCTGGAAGGCATGCTGACACCCCTACAGCTGCAATTTTACAGTTTTCTGTGGACTGGTGCAAATGCCCCACCTAGTCAGGCTGGTCAGGAAGTGCTCATAATTTGAACTGAGCATTTCTGTTCAATGGAATTTAGCTATCTTTTTTCCTGACTAGATTCAACTTGTAGATAAGCTCCTACAACCAGAGGTTTGCAGAAGACCAAGTCAAGCGAGCAGCACTATTTCTGAGTAACTTTTTGTTGCAAATGCATCTCAAAGCAGCACAGATCTGAATCTGGCAAGGGAAGGAGGTGCCACCTGGAACATCTGCACGCCAGGTGACACCGAATGATGGAAGATGACCACCCTTCTGGGGAGGCAAGGATGTCTCCCAGTGGCATTCCGTAATATTTGTGCATATTCACAGTGGAAACTGAATGTACTTCCATATCTAGACCTGTGCCCCACCTCATTTTGTGTTATATTCTGGCCAAATTAATTATCTAACCCATAGCAAATGTGTCAGCAAGCTACTGCTGTATTTGGTTAACATAATATGGGCAATATTTCTGTCTGTGCATTTCCTTTTTATCTTAGCATAACTATAAACCTGGGGTTTGGGTTAAAAGTTCAGAGCACCCCACATCAGAGTGCTATGATTGGATGCTGCCCACGGGGAAAATTACCCTCTGTTGAACATAGTTCATATCTCCAACACTGCAGATTTCCGGTGGGTTAAGGAAAACAGAGAATGAATCATTCAAGGATTTCTAATATGAGAATTATCCAATAAATACCCTTCCCCCACTTGCAAAATCTCTAGCCAAATACTGTCCCTCTGTTCCAGCTCCTCCTTACCGCCTCTCCCTGTTTCCGGATGGGCCCTGGCCCCCAGCCTTTATCTCCTCCAGTCCCTGGGCTGTTTGCAGAGAGCAGTTATAAAGAGGCTGACTGAGCAGAGAGTGGAGGAGAATTACAAGGTGCAGGAAAACAGCAGCACCAGACCAGACTGGGTGTCTGCTTGACTCACCACGACCTGCTCTGCACCATGGGGAAGGACAGGCTGCCCAGCAAACCAAACATCTTCCTCCTTCTTCTCTTCTTCCTTCCTGGAAATACCTCTCCCATCACAGAACCGTAAGCTACACATGCGGAGGGGGGAGGGAGGTCTAAGTGCTCCCTTTTTCCTTCAGTTTTCTTCCTTCCACCAGCTTCCT